ACATCAAGGAGAGATTTATTTATCATATCCTTTTTGATTAAGCGTTCTGCTCCTTTTGCTACTAGAAAGTTCTCTCTCATTCCTTCTATCACCTCTTTAGCTTATTTCTCCCTTCCAATAGTTGGGTGTTGGGTCAATACCCAATTGATTCTCTTCCTCAACCCACATGTAACCAATATATTTATAATTCTATTATTTTGGATAAATTAAATGAGGCTGATAAAAATATATGCTCTTAATTAATTTTTTCGAATTGGATGCCATGCATAAGCCAATGTTTATTCTTCTTGAACTGAAACACGGTCATGCGTGTGATACCTTAACTAAGTATATGTCTCATGCAAGATTCATTATTTTCCACATAGACCAATATCAGAAGAGATCGAATGACTTATAAGTTTAAACAGAAAACTCCTAGTTATTAATAAACCACGACAATATTTCACCATGGTTTCACATGATCAACTTTATGTTTGGAAAAGAGCTAGAAACATTAGTGAATGAGAATGTAAATGACAATGACTATAGTAGCACAATTATAACATGGAGTCCAGTGAAGCGTATGAAACCTCAACATGATAGATATGTGTCTGCTTTGGGTCAAGCAATTAAGTCCGCACAAATTTGTTTTTTGGACTCTTTCTTAAAATGTCTTATACTAATTAAAATTGAACTTAACTTATATATTAGACTGTTATTGTTTTAATCTTTCCACGTAGGACGTTGGTTTTGTCTCCCAACATGACTTAACTTACTAAGTACAATTAAACATAGGTAAGTGATAATAATTTTGTACAATATATTTAAACTAAACAAGAAAACACACAAATATACTCCAACCTTTTTTAGATTTCATTTATATCAATGTAAAAAATTATTTTGTACCCATGAACGACTTGATAATTAGTTGGACCAATTGTTCCCACTGTAAACGTCATTATTAACATATTTTAGACTAATTTACCCCTATAACTTCACTCCTTTTTTTTTCTGATGTCTCTTTTTTTAATTTCTTTTGTGGTGTTTTATTTTTCCAACGACACAAGACCACGAGAATAACAATGGCAACATAAAAAATCAAATCGAATAAAAAAAAAGTTGAAACCAGAAGCTAACTGGAAAGCAAATCGGTGTGTTGTGTGATTCACTTGTGACGGTGGTGGTTTACCGGACATAGAAGCAATGACGTGAAGATGATTGGAGCTCTAGCCGCTTTCGTAGCTTAACACCAAGACGCGGTCGTGGGTTTGAATCTCGGTGGTGGTTTCCAATTTCACCGGAATTGGTAGTGAGACGGTGATGGAGAAGGTGTGGTGGTTCAAGATTATGACGGTGGCGGCCATCACAGATATGTGATACTCTTCATTGTCTTTTTGGTTCTAATCTTTCTCGGAAAATCTTGATCACCATTGTGGTGCCGTTCTCATCACCAGATTTCATGGCTTTCTTTCTCTTGTTCGATTTCTGATTTGGTTCGGCCAAATATGCATTCTATCATAATTATGCAGAAATATGATAACTAGTTTAACATGATAAATATGCATTTAACAAATAATATATAAATTTATTAGAATATTATACTAGTTAACATGTTATTCAAATAGTTATCCACACAAATAATATAATATATGTAACTCGTTATTTTTTTTGTATATAATATAACAAAAATGAGTTGCCACGATAAATATGAGTATAATTCATAAATTATAAACTTATCGCGATACAATATGATTTAACACGCTATATTTATAAACATATTGATAACTATATTTTGTTATCATGTTAAGCGAATAGATAATCAGTTAAGTCATAATATGGTTTTACCCATATATTTGATGAACAATAAAAGAACGTCGATAACAATTTTTTTATATTGCTTAATAATTTTTTATATACAGAGGGATATTTTTGTCTAATTTTTAACCGTCCGAGATGCATGCCAGGGACCGTGTCCGTTCGTCGGACATGTCTCGCCGGTTTCTCTCTTTTCCATCTTGTAACTTGTGGATCGTTTTGGGTTGTTAACGTTATGGGCTTTAAGTACCCCATGCCCATTTATGGGTAATTTTAATATATATCTATACATATTTTGAAGAGAAAGAAATCAACTAAAGCCTATATTGTCAAGGAAGCATCTTTGGTCCATTGATTAAGAGTTTAAAGGTTTCTACACTAGGTATGGTGTTCGAATCCCAAATAAAGTATTTTTTCTAAATTATCGGTGCAAAGCTTACTATAAATTCCAGAGTACTGCATGTAGAGCCGTTTATAGTAGTCTCGTGTGTTGCGAAGAGAACATATTCATCGGATGTCGTAAATGTAGAACCGTCCGTCATGTATTTGAATGTTGCGGGAAAAGATGCATTATGGAATAGTTGTTCATGAAATTTATTCATTATAATAGTATATGTTGTAAGTAGTTTGCTTCATAATAAAATTAAATCAAATATTTCTAATGGTAACGTAATTGATGATTTTTTTTAAAAAAAGCTTATGCTGTCTACATTGAAAACACATAAGAAAAAGTGATTAATTAGGAACAACAACTATCTTATTATATAAAGTATGATTTTCAAAGTTAATAACTCACGAGATCATGACACGTGTCAAATATATCGATTTCAGATTTTGACACGTGTTAAACAAAAATTTTCTTTAAAATAAAGTAAGAAGATAATTTTAAAAAAATTATAAATTTAAACAGTTTTAAAATGTAAAAAGCTAATTATAAGGAAATTGTACATATATTTTCATAAGAGATTTTGCCATCTAGCAAACAATTTTTTTTTTTATTTATGCGTATATATTAAAAAAATTATATGTATATTTTTCAAAAGAATAAAAAGCTAATTATAAGGAAATTGTACATATATTTCCATAGGAGATTTTGCCATCTAGCAAACAATTTTTTTTATTTATGCGTATATATAAATAAATTATATGTATATTTTTCATAAAAATCTAAATTATAAAATTATGATAAACCTTTTATTTATAAGTTATTATCTGTACCAAAAAGATTTAAAAATAGAAAAAAATTAAAGAAAATTATACAATCAGTTATTAATCCTTTAAAAAAAAGATTGTAAATTGTCAGCTTTATATAAATAAATAGATGACGAAAAAAATATATATAAATAAATAGATTGTCTCATATTTTCTCATCAAGCAAACTAATTTCTTAACGATGTTATATCATATCAATTATAAAAAAATACTTCGAATCATGATGTTTTTCTAGAAATATCATGTGATATTCAGATCTAATGAATATATGGTAATTAATTATGAACGACGATAAATATAAACTAGAGTTATTGTTGGAGAGACTTGGTCCAATGTCGGAGGAGATAAAGAAGGTGAAGTAATAAGAAAAGTTGGAGAAAGAGGATAAGAGGCGGTAAAAATGGTGTTGGTGTTGATCATGGTGGTGCAAGTTTGGTGGTGGTGGCGGCGGTAAATATTGACGAGGTGGTGAGTCGGAATTAGCGAGATTTGGTATTGATGGTGGTGGTGATTGTGATAGTATTGAAATTCAGTTGTGGTGGTGGGTCAGAGTAGTGAGACTCGGTGGTGATGTCCGACGAATGCGAGAAATGGAGATAGGAAAAAAGTAAATAAAGATATGGTGGTGAAGAATCCCGATGAGAAGGAGAGAAAGAGAAAGAAAGAGAGTTCAAACGCAAACAAGAGAAATCTAATGGAGAAAACATAGAGATTTGAGAATTAAAAAGAAGAGAAAACGAAGAAATTGGTAATATAAGCCAAAAAATGACAAAAGCTATGTAGCAAATAGAGAATGTTTAGTTTGATGTTATTTTGTTAAATTTTTTTAGTCAAGTTATTTAGTGTATATTCTCTAATTCCTTATAAGATTATCTCTTTCTGTTGAAGATATCTCATATTATCAAGTAAAGTTAGATGACATGGATATAGACGATCTCATATTTTTTTTTTATTATCACAATTTTACTATGACGTCAAAGTTTTCTTAAAAAGTCATATATTTACGTAACTCAAACTATATGTTTATATATTATACATATATCGTTCATATGTTTAGGGAAGTATACAATTTTTTTTTTTTATTGTCATAGTTTTGTTTCCATCTTGCCCACATTGAAATTATAAGATGTAACCCACTCTTCCAATAGATGTAAATAACTTATTAAAATTCAATAATACAACATATGAACATTTATGATTTCATAACTTATAATAAGCAAAAAATGATTTAATTTTATAAATAGGCCAACATTTATATTAGATAATTTAATAATTAGTATAGCATAGCTACAAATAGTGTTTTATATTGCGCATTATGCTAATAAATCTATATTTAGAAATAATTATGTTGCATTTTCTAAAATATATATGTTTATAGAATCTTAGTTAAGCTTACAAAATAAAATAGAAATATTAAGAGTGATAATCTCGACCAGCAACCCGTGCAACGCACGGGTCCATATCTAGTTAAATAATAAAGACAAGTCAAATCAGAAAGAGAGCGATAGGGTTTCCGGAAAAGGAAGGGTAGAAGGTGCGAATGAGTAGAGACTAGAGAGCTCTTTACGTGTGACGTGAATTGTCGATATTACTGATATCGGTGCACAGTCAACACGACCCATGGCCGAGAGAATTTCTACTCAAGAAGAGATAAATAGACTAATTACGGTTTTAAAATTTGTTCGCGGAAAGGAAGAGATGAAGGGTATGTTAGATTATAATTGAGTTTGGTCTATATTATTTAATTATACAAGTAATGTATGTTAAGTCAAAGGGTGTGTATGTAAGAGTTGTGACTTGTTGGTTAAGACACAACTGTTACGAACGGTTACGACCGTAAGGCATCTATATAAGTGTATGTGTGTTATTGTAAAACGTTGTCGAGAATAATAAAGAAGTTTTTCCATTTTTCAATTCTTTGTTTTCTCTACCATGCTCTATAATTGAAGCAATGGCTTCTACAATTATATAAGAGCAAAAACACCAACAGGGTAAGCTCATATCTGTGGACACTTTTAACTGAGGTTGCTTTAGAAGCAATAAGAAATGGAGCTGACATTTTGAATGATGTCTCTATAGGAAGTTTAGACCCGAATATGAATAAAGTTGTTGCGGATTCCGATGTTCCTTATATGATCAAGCACATGAGAGGAGATCCATGTACAATGCAAAACAAAGAGAATTTGGAGTATAATGATATATGCAAAGAAGTTGCTCCAGAGCTTTATGAGAGAGTAAAAGAGGCAGAACTCTCTGGGATTCCAGCTTGGAGGATTATGATTGATCCAGGAATTGGATTTTCTAAGGGAATAGATCATAATTTAGATATTATCATGGAGCTACCAAAAATCAGGGAAGAGATGGGTAAGAAGAGTATAGGTTTGTCTCATGCACCTATACTTATAGGACCTTCAAGGAAGAGATTTTTGGGAGATATTTGTGGTCGTCCTGAAGCAAGTGAAAGAGATCCTGCAACTGTTGCTTGTGTTACTGCAGGGATATTAAAAGGTGCTAATATCATTAGAGTTCATAATGTTAGAGATAATGTAGACGCGGCAAGACTTTGCGACGCAATGATGACGAAAAGTTTTAAAAAACCATGATTAGTTGGTATAATCTGTATCATGGTTTTAAGACCATATGTACTTAAGATGTGCTAAAATGATGTTAAAAATAAGTTTCATTTGTTTTTTCTGTATTAAAATTCAGTTCATTTTATAAAGTTCATTTAATTGACTCAATTTTTAAATCCGCAGTTCATTATTAGAAACTTCAGTATTATCAGCCGTTAGCAATCGGTCCCTTAGTCTTTGTTCCCGTTTTATTTTGAGTTTTTTTTTTCTTTCAAGTATTTGATATAAAATAAGGGATCTAAGACAAATGCCTTTCTCCACAATTTGTATTTGCATTTTTATGAGATATATGCATGGAATCATGGATACAAAGAGATTTTGTCTCGATGAAAACGTGAGATGCTTTGTTTGTTTTAGTTTACTTTTATAAATTTTATATTTTGAAAGTAGGATATATTACAATCATACAAACACTTTTTATTTTAATTAGTTAACCCCATATTTCAGAATAATGATTTCTACCCCCAACTTTGTTACTCTACAAAAACGAGGCCAAAACATTGAAACTACACAATTTAAAGATAGTCAAAAAGAGGAAGCCAAACAATATTTTAACTTTATCAGCTGTGTAACTTCATTTTGTTAAATTACTTAAAATCTCACCTTTTTTTTTTTTTTTAATTTTTTAAAATCTCACCTTCACTTTGTGTTCTCTCACCTCTGAAAGAGATGCTGCAACTGTTTCTTGTGTTACTGCAGGGATACTAAAAGGTGCTAATATTATTAGAGTTCATAATGTTAGAGATAATGTAGACGCGGCAAGGCTATGCGATGCAATAATGATGAAGAAAAAAAGGTCAAAAAGGACGATTAGTATATGATTTGTAGCATGGTTTTAAGAACATACATATGTACTTAAGATGTTTTAAAAATGATGTTAACAATAAGTTTCATTTGTTTTTCCCTGATAAATTCAGTTCATTTTAAAAAGTTTTTTCGTAGTTTTCAAATCTGTAGTTTTGTCATCATTTTGGTTCTAAAAGTCATCAAGCAAAGAATCTGTTTAGGGGTAAAACACTTTACTTAAAACATCTTTGAACAACACACCAAATCCAAACTCATTATCGATAATACTGTATAGAGGAAAAAATGTTGGTGGATTTCATCGTCGATATAAATTCCTTTAAGCTTCAATCATTTTTTTGCCAAGATCAAGAAAAAAAAGAAGTAGAAAATGAGGTACTTGTGTTGTGCAACTTATTTCATGAATGATGTGTTATGTTTTTAACGTTTATTTATTTAAATAATTTGATGTATAAAAAGGGATCTAAGACAGATGTCCTTCTCCACAATTTGTAGTTGATATCTTATGATTTTGATGGTTTTAAGTCCTAATTTGTCTTTAATATTTGCATATTCATAGCATTTTAGTTTGTTTAGTATTGCATTTGCATCAAGATTGTTGTTTTTAAGTGTTTGGAGTGGAGACATGAAGAATGGAGAGCTAGAAGAGGAGTTTTTGACCATAAACTATTTATTTTTTACTTTTAGAATCATGCAGTAGCTACCAATATGAGTCCGATATTGAGGGATAGTGTAGATCCACTCCTGACTAACTCTTATTTGCTGGCCTTTTTATTTAGCCCACAAAAGTTTAGTAGGATCTCTTGTATATAAGCCCGAAACTGTCCAATAGGATTCATTTTTTCCATTGGGACTAAACTCCCAAAGTACATATATACATAGGTAAGTGAAAATAAATTTGTACAGAATACTTAAAATAAACAAGAAGAAACGCAATTTGAACAAAAAAAAAAAAAAAGAAACGCAAATATACTCTTAACCGTTTTGAGATTTCATTTATATCAATGTACGTAAATTATATTGTGGCAACCGATGGAGGTTAGGAAATATTGGTGCTTTCTTAGTAATCTTTCAATAGATAGAAGAAACTACCTACACAACAACGTTGAGAAAATGAAAAATTTAGTATATAGGAGAAAGAGACGACAAGATAAGTTAGTCTAATTAAAATTCATAAAGAAGACGTTAAATAAAGTAATTTAGAATAAGAGAACTTTCAAAATTGGCACGAGAAAGATCAACTAAAAGCTATATTGTCTAATGTCTATATTGAAAACACATAGAAAGTGATTAATTAGGAACAACAACTAATAAATAAAAAAGACAAGTCAAATCGGAAAGAGAGCGATAGGGTTTCCGAAAAAGGAAGAGTAGAAGCTGCGAATGAGTAGAGAGCTCTTTACGTGTGATGTGAACTGTGATGCTTCTTAGCTTTGTGTGTTTCTATTAAACTCAAGTGGGTTTGGTGAACTTTCCTTTTGACTTTTTTTTTTCTTTCAAATTATAGAATTTCTTGTTTTTCTAATCAGGGAAAGAAAAGAGGATCCCTCAAGGAAGTTTACAAATGTTGCATTCCATTTATCTGTAAAATTGAGATTGTTTTAATGTGATACAGTTTCATTTAACAAATTAAAACCGAAAATGATAAAGTTTATTTAGTGGACTCGGTTATAACAAATATTACTACTCCCTCTATTTCATGAAGATGTTTTGGAGATTATAAATGTTTTCAAGTTTTTATATTTATAAATGTTTCAAGTTTTTATGCAAATTATATATTGAATAATGATTAAATACTTTATAACTATTTAGATTCTAAAATCTCTTTTATAGTTGATTGATTCTATTAAAATTAAATACCTTTTAATATGCACGCTTTTAGTTAGAATATCTTATATTTTAAAATTGAGGAAATATTGAATTATCAAACATTATGATCATGATTAGTCACCAGTAAAAAAATCCGTGTTGTTCTAGAAAATAAATGGTTTAATTTAGAAACGATCATATAGTAATCTATTTTGTTTGTTTGTGAATTATTTCTATATTGTCTTTTAACTAAATACCGTAAGTACGTTAGGAGCAATCTAAAAGACATGCAAATATACTCATGATCCATTGATTCTCTCTTCCACGCTCAAATTACATGTCCATTATTAATTTTTTTTACCACCAAAACACTATAACGGTCAATTACTTTGTGATAGATTACACATTTCCAGATTCTGAATTTTGAACACCAAAACTATGATAGCATATAATACCCAAAAAGACTATGATAGCATAATGTAAAAGTTCTTAATGGTTCATTCAAATACATAAAAATCTAAACGCCCGTCTCATCATAACCGGTAGCTAATATTGAATTTTAAATATTAAGTCGACTAAGCCAATAAGCCATGCGGCCCATGCTAGCTAATTAGGCACACGAAAGTACACGACAAGAAAAAGAGGGCATATTTTGAGATATATATGACAAATATAAAAATGATTATATATTAAGTGTACGTAAAAGTAGTGGATGCATGAATAATGGGTGGTATTAAATAGATAGATAGCTAGAGGAGAGGGTAAAGGCAAAGCTTTAAAGAGTCGGAGTAATGAAGTTATACGAGCATGGAAACCTGACTAAACCCTAATTTCTTATTAGCTCTCTTCCCTTTTTTGGCAATCGTCCCATCTCTCACAGTCATAGTCCCCAACTTTTTCTTCAATAAACATAATTTAATTTCAGTCACCTTTTTTAAGATGCAGACAGAGAGAGATATCTTATCAGAATTTTTAGTCCACGATTACCTTATTATGTACAACTAATCTTCTATTTTCAACTGATCTTATTCTAAAAATTTCAGTTACATCTCTGGTCTCAAAATATGGAAATATTCACATTTCTATCTTAATGCCAATGAAGAGATTTGCTAAAAAATTGATTTTTTTAATGATGAGATTTTCTATTGATAAAAATGGATATCACATTTCTATCTTAATGTTCATTGTGCATATGGTTAAACTTTCTTAGATTACAAATTAAAGTATCAATAAATTTCTTAAATTAGATATGAAATCGATCAGAGATTTTGGAATTAGACTAGCGTACAGTGTTAAAAATAAATGTTTAAAAAGCATATTACATAAAAAATAGTTATTCATGTTTTCTTCTTGTTTTTTTTTTGTTAATAGCTAAAGAAATTCAGGACTTTCATTAATCTATTTATATATATTAGTTCTAACATTGAGAGCAAACTTCAATCCATGTATATATTGGTTCTAACATTGAGAGGAAAACTTTAATCAAATGAAATTGTAAGTAAGCCAAATATGTGTGTAGAAGTAGGAAATCTAAGGAAAGTGAAGAATGCAAAAAAGTTAGTCACTGAAAGAGACGTGTGATTGATCACTTGTCTCCTTCCAATTTCCCTGTGGGGCAGTGCATGCACAAAAGATGGAATCCATTCTATAGCTCCTCCTTTCTTCACTATCTTTTCAAGTTTCTATTTTTGAATATTTTTTAAAAATTTTGAGTTTTGATTTAACTCAAAGCCCACACATCTTACTCATCTTCCCTATAATTAGTATGCTAACAAATATGCTTGTTCTATCTCAAATTCAACAATAAAAGTGTGTTTTTCTCCCAAAAAATAATGTTGCTGAATTATCACTCTTTTTATGGACCGGATTAATACATACCTCAGAAACGAGTAGTCTAGAGAACTTAACTTTTACATGTATGTGTGTAAACCCTCATAACCTAAAACAGAAAATTTGTTGTGCAGTGTACAAAACATCCTTAAACATAAAATATAAAAGTGGTAAATCCTTTAACAAAAAAAAAAAAATTATAAAAGTGGCAAATCAAAAAGATTCTGCTTTTGGATCCAATGTATGTATAGTTGGATGTGTCTAAAGAAAATCCATTGTTTTGGTTGTTTCCCTACAGTTAAACCATTTTTGTATTTAACTTATTAATGCAAAATTTCAAGATGAAGAAAAAAGTTGTGAATCATGACAAGTTTTGTTCTCAGTTTTGCAGTGAAATCATTTTGCATGAAATTTTTATGAGAGAAACAAAAAACGAACAGATCAAAGATCAGGAAAGGACCATTCTTAATTTATAACATGTGGGCAAGTCAAGACTTGCTGGCATCAAACTTGAATGAATGTAATCATATTCACACCATGTATTATGTAATATATAATTTTAATATCTTAATTGGTCATCTCTTTTTGTCTTTTTGCATCGCATATGTGTCATAATTAATATCTGTACGATGTAGAAGCTGGTGAATATAAAGTGAAAATATATATACATCGATCTTAAACCAAAGGTCAAGAATAAATATATCTTACACCATATGTATATCTGCTTATTTTGAAAATATTGATGTATAGGAAAGTATTGGATTGTTTGTTTTCATTATGATCTTGAGTTTAATTTGGACTAGTACTTATTAGTTATTTACACATAACACATGATTAATTAAGGTATATTGTTAACTAAAAAATAATCATATTTATACGAAAAAACATGGTTGAATAATGTTCAGCACAGCTTATTATAGCAAAAACTAATGTACGAGGAGTGACATTTAGAGTCTTGATATTTTTGAAGCAAAATTAAATACGTCTGCAAGATTTTGCAGAGGAGGTATGTACTATCATCAGCAATAGTAGCAACACAGATAAAAGTCATAAAGCCCTAGATCCGGTCCCTTTAATTTAATTCATATATATGATTTGACATAAAATTAATTTTGTTAAAAGTTTGTTTTTACATTAAGTTCTGCATATATATTTTTTTAAAAAGTCAGTTTGATATATATTATAAATTATAATTTATCTTTCCGAATCCCTAGCTTTAAGATATTATTTGTTTTCCTTTTTATATCCAGAGATATTTCATGCGGAAACGTAGATTAATCATCAAAGTAAACTTGTTGTTCCAATTTGTTTTATTTGTTAAAACATTTACAGTGATTACAAAATAGAATAGTAAGTAGATATCCCTAGAAAACACATAACTTATAATGTCACACCATTAGAAAATTCGTGTCGACACCACAAGTCATTGGTTTAAGATATTAATTTTTTTTTTTTGATAAGATAGATATTAATTGTTGTTAATAAATTATAAAAATGCAATTATGGACTGCATATACGTCCAACACTTGGACAATCTTTCCCTCTCTCTATACATCTCATGGTCTCACTATGTTTGTTCTATAAATACAAGCCTTCCTAACTCATAAAATAACCATAACCCTAACTCTACAAAGTTCTTCTGATTCATTATCTCTCTCTTTCTTTCAAGAGCGGTTTTCAATCCATTCCCTAAAGATCATGAACCTTGAAGATAAACCAACCATGGCAGCTTCAAGAGCTTCCCCTCAAACCGAACATCTCTACTACGTCCGGTGTAGCATCTGCAACACCATCCTCGCGGTAATTGACCTACACATAAGAAGATATATAAGCATATATATTTTCATGACCATTATATATGTAGATTATATGCCATGCATGAGAAGCTATATAGTGTTGTTTGTTGTGTATTTCTTCAAAATTTTGAACTAATTGTAAACATAATCTACATATATATAGGTTGGGATACCATTGAAGAGAATGCTCGACACTGTAACGGTGAAATGCGGACATTGCGGTAACCTCTCGTTTCTGACCACAACTCCTCCTCTTCAAGGCCATGTCAGCCTCACCCTTCAGGTATATAACATGAGTATAATTCTTTTTAGACAAAAAAAGTGATACTAAGCCTATCTTTGTTTTAACTAAGTAGATGCAGAGCTTTGGTGGGAGTGAGTATAAGAAGGGAAGCTCTTCTTCTTCTTCTTCCTCTACCTCCAGCGACCAGCCACCATCTCCCACACCACCCTTTGTCGTTAAACGTAATTAATCTTATTACCATTTCTGACTCCTTTTTCTTCTATAAATTTAATCACTATCTACATATAAATGATAATTTGTTGAACATCTTTTGGAATTGTAGCTCCTGAGAAGAAGCAGAGACTTCCATCTGCGTACAACCGCTTCATGAGGTTTAACCTTTGATATATACTCTTCATTTTCCAAGTTATCAAATTTAATATTTGTAATTTACTCTTTTTCATCTTTTTTTTTGAAAAAATAATACAAAGGGATGAGATCCAACGCATCAAAAGTGCCAATCCGGAAATACCACACCGTGAAGCTTTCAGTGCTGCTGCCAAAAATGTAAGACAACAATCACTTTTTATTACCACTCTAATTAAATGGATTCATATACTAACCATATTCTTTTTCATCAATCTTAACTTTTATTTGTGTAAATGAAAAATGTCACAAACAGTGGGCTAAGTACATACCCAACTCTCCTACTTCCATTACTTCCGGAGGCCACAACATGATCCACGTAAGCTATACAAACTCATCAGTCTGCATAAAAACATTATATAAAGATTTAAAATTGTTAAAATCTTCTCTCAAATGTTTTGTTTTAGGGCTTGGGGTTCGGTGAGAAGAAGTGAAAGAAATCGAGGGGAAAAAAGCCTAAAAATAACAAACGCATGCACGTGTGCGAGTGGCTGCGTCGTTTTTCTCATCTTGTGTTGTTCATGTAATTTTCTTATGTATGTCATGTTGCAGAAAATGATGTTGCCTTAGTTTTTATGACTTTATATTTCTGTCTGTCTTTAGATTTGAAAGTAACGTCACTTGCTATGTCCCTTTGGACGTTTATGTCTGGTCTTTATTTGTCTTAATCCTATCAAAAATTTATCTGCTTATATTCCTCTTCCATCTAGGACACTTATTATTTTTTCCAAGGATTTGCAACTTTCAACATCGTAACTTCGAATTCAAGAATCTCAGATGACGTGAGTGTACATAACAAAACAAAACAAAAGTGAAAATTCACTTTTTCAGCGAATATTCACTTTTTCAGCGAATATTCATTACAATTATATATACAAATTGTCTGAAAAAAACAAAGACTGAAACGCTGTGTAAAAGAAACAGGCATAGATATCTGAAGCAATTTTCTTCAGAACATTATTGACTGATGAATAACAACACAACAGTTACAAATTACAATAATACCTGTAACATGATTTGATCTTCTTCATTCCTCTATCTATTTCACCAATCCAATAATTAATTACCACACCCAAATTTATAAACTAATCAAACCATGCAGGCTTGTCTTGTCCTATAGTGCATAACACTCTCAAGAAACTCGAACCGGTTTAAAGGAATAAGAATGTTGTAACCTTTTTTTTAAGAGCCAGGGAAATAAAGCTCGTTATATTCCTGCTTCACATCACCAATGTAATTCCTCTGTTGCTCGATTCTTTGAAGATGTGATGACAGTTGCAGTAGATCAACCGTGGATGGTCCTTTTACAGTACGTGAACTAGAACCAGCAGAATTGGTCTTGCCAGGATCGATCCAGAACGGTTCCATTTGATGATAGTCTATTGGTGATGACTGATTGAGATTTTGGTTGGGTTGGGTGATTGAGAACGTTGTGTTTGGAATCTCGGACACGTGTTGTTGGGACTGAGCTGACAGAAGAGAGAGAGCACAAGTAGAGCGTGTTGCCGCCTCATGTAAGTCCCAAATAGAGGATGCTTCCGCTGAATAAATCGCTGGTTTAGATTCATAAGTGCTGCTGTTTTGCCCAATAGCAGGAAACATAGAGCAAGTAGGTTCATCTTTGAAACTCACGAGTCTACTTGCACGGTGGTCATCGTCATCTATTACTCGGTATAAAAGACTACCAGGAAATGACTCTGGCAATACCAACGATGAATTCTCCAGAAACTTGTTGCCTACTACACCTATTTACACACATATATATACAGAATGGATTCAAACTTGCGCGAGTTTGCTAATTCAATACATCAATGGATAGGGAAAGGCAGAGACTGAGTACCTTGAGAGGTGCGAAGAAGCTTATGACGCTTACCCGGTAGGAAATAGAATGCAGGTTTCCTTCTTCGTTCATTGTGACCAGCTAATCGCCTTCTGCAACTTCTTTTGCCATCATCAAATTCTGAGAGGAAATGAAACCTGAACAGAAGAAAAAGGTAAAGAAACAAACAATCAAGATCCATCAAGCATGATATGTTAGTTAAAACATTGAAATAACTACAGAGCATGAGACAACTTGAGAGGAGAAAGAAGAAACCTGCTGCACTGTTGACAAAACCTCTGTTCAAGACCATTAACTACGACCACGGAAGTTTTCGAATGAGCCTCGCAAACTCTATGCCTTTTGTGGTAATCTTTCGAAGAGCTCAGATCCATATTACACCCATAAACTTGACACAAGGGATTCTGAGAGCACAAGACTGAACCTCGAGACTTTTTAGCTGGCAAAGAAAAACCTCTAGAGGATGTATCATCATCATCGTTTCCTAAATCCAAAAAGCTCCTAATTTTGAAATCTATCCTATTCAATTCCTGACTAGACAACTTTGAAGAAGAAGATTGGTTCTCCTCCTCCTCCTCTTCAGGAACCACTTTAGTAATAGAAACAGCACTGAATCCATTGGAGTTACCAGCCATGTCAGAAATCAACACATCATCATCATTCCTCAATTCATTAGAGAATCTATGTTCAAATCTTCTATTCTCAGCAAAAGAATCACAAGGTAAAAGAGTTTCATTTGACATGAAAACGCTTCTCCCGTAACTCCAAGAATCATCCATCACTCAACACTATAATCAAGTTCTGCTTTCTTCAACGACAACTAGTAATTCGATAAGTAAATTCAGAAACCCTAAAGGAGGAAGCTTTATTCCTAATTGAGAAAACCCAAGACGACGATTCACTTATTCCTTCGATTGGCACAAAACCCAGATAGAAAATTGACGAAAAGATTCAAACCCTAACAAAAAAACAAAGATAAAAATCAATACTTTATCAAGAAAGCAATCAAACAAGACGAAATTTTGAGTTTCTTCACTTCCATCTAATGCAATTAAGGTGAACCAAATCATAAAAAGAAGATCGAAGAATAAGAATCAATATACTTACGGATTAGAGGAACAGAGAAGAACTGTGTATAGGAAGCAAGCAAAGAGACAGAGACGGAGAAAAATATAAGAAAAGTGAAAATGGGAATAAGGTGAGAGGTGACGTCGAAGCAGATACTGTTGGGGTCAACATGATTTCCACTAAACCCATCTTCTTCTCCATTTCTCTCTCTCTCTCTCTTTTCCCTTTTTTTTTCATTCTGTAAATTTTTGTATTTTTCTGTAGATTTTCGAAGGTATTGGATGCTGTATTTAGCTTAGTGTTATTGATATGTTAAAAACTAGCCGAGTAAACTGCTGATTTCATATAGTTTTTTTTTTTTGGTGGTGATTAGGGTTGGGTATTCGGGTACGCGGATCGGATTCGGATAAAACTTTATCGGATACAGATGTTTCGAGTAGAGGAGTTTAGGATTCAATATGATAAATAAAAAAATCGGTTCGGTTTCGGTTCAGGTCTTTTTGGGTTTGGATATAAATTTTCACAACCGCTAAATACCCGTTATAAAAATGTTCGGTTAAATTCTCGGATTTTTCGGGTAAATATCCGGATTTTCGGATAAATATCCGGTTTTCGGATAAAATTTCGGGTTTTCGAATAAAACAATCGGATATTTTTGGATTCAGGTTCAAATTCGGGTTCTGATTTTTGGGTATATGAATTTAGGACCCAATAAAGTAAATCTAATTTTCGGGTTCGGTTTCAGATCAAAATTTTTGGTCGATTTCGGTTCAGGTATTTGGTTTCGATTTTTTTTTGCCCAGCCCTAGTGATGATGTACAATTGTTTCCAGAACAACACCTAAATAAAATCTTGGTTTAGTCACAAATAACACACAACGAATATGGTGTTAAATTTGGGCTAATTCTGGGCTTCCAACTAAAAACCAATTGGCAATTAGTGGATTGGCCCTAACCCTTTATATATTATTGATTGTCCCATCAAACTTCCGATGTGGGACTTGGATTGTATCTCCAACAATCTCCCCTTCAATCCAAGGACCACATGGATCTTAACACACCTCCTCGATCCCTCACTCGGACCGATAATAAGCCCCTTTCTCGGGCCCCCATTACTCGGGTTTGAGGTATGTCCGTATCCACTTTTCTAGGTCCACCAGAATTTGAACCTTGGGCTCTGATACCATGTTAAATTTGGGCTAATTCTGGGCTTCCAACTAAAAACCAATTGACAATTAGTGGATTGGCCCTAACCCTTTATATATTATTGATTGTCCCATCAAACTTCCGATGTGGGACTTGGATTGTATCTCCAACATATGGTGGTATGTATTTCACATTGATGTAGAGACAAGCAACCAAACTGATGTGTTCACACTATCTCGAACACATGTATATTTAAATGATGACATAAATATGTTGACTACAATCAAAACCAGTGAAGATCACAATGAACATCGTCCCCATCGAAAGTTTTACAATTTTGACAAACACATTTTTTGATTAATTATTTGGTTTGTTGGCGGGTTTTTTTTTTCGATCGGCTGATCCGGTCAGTTCCGGGTAAAACGTACCAAAATTATATCATGTGGACTCGTCGCCAACACCTAGGTGTTCGACTACCATACTGGACACTGCCTAACCTCGACTACCAAACTGTTTAACCCCGAATTTTGGTTAATTATTTAGTTTGTTGACAGTTTCAATGAGATTGTAAAGATTTTTTAAAAAAAAAAGACAACAACATGGAAAAAGCGTATTTTATATAGCAACTTGGAAACATTAATTTTTTTGGCTTAATTTTCTTTTAAAAATCGTTTTAATAAGAATATATATCCAAATTAAGAATGTATGTGGGTTTCCTCAAAAGAAAAAGAAACTTTGGGGTCGCAAAAAGAATAAATAAAATATTAGAGAATCAGCGTATTGAAGACATTGGTGGTGGAGCGTGTATGGGCAAAGCCTTCCCAAACCTTTTGCTTTATTACAAAATCAACCCTTTTCTTTTTTCTTTTTCTTTTATTTTCTTCAAAATCTAAACTTTTTTTTTTTTTGGTGGGAGCCAGAGCATATCTTGTTGGCCAACCAACCGCACTTTGCAGGTGATGGAATCTAAAGCTAAGTCCTAATTACTTCATTTTTTTGTTGTTGTTTGCTATTAATATTTCTTTTGTAAATTACAAGTTTATATGATTAGATCGTTTCTCATTTATTACTATGTAAAAGTTGCAAGTAAATTCGATCATATACTTTATGACTTTATATGTGAAAAAAGAGAGTTGGTGTTGGTTCCAATTTGCAAATCCAGGTCCATCAATTTACCTATTTCGAGCCCATTAATTACGGCCCATCGGGGTCTGTTCCATTTTCACGAAAATTCTCAAAAGATTATAAAAAAAGGGAAAAAGATACCTAGCTACACGAAGTATGCTACAATACATGGCCACACATCCGAACTTTAAAAATGTATCCCTAACTACACAAACTATATGCATCGTATGCCCACATATACGAATTATATGTAGTCATAACGCCAACATCACGAACATTTTTTTTCGGTATACTTGTCGCCGGAATCCGGCGTTGACCAGCTTGACCGGCGTTGACTGGCGTTGACCAACTTAAATATTCAAAAAAAAAAAAATTAGGTTTTTAATATTTAGAAAATTATGTTATTGAATCATTTATAATATTGTATAATTAAAAAATATATATATATATAATATTTAATATAAAAATATTTTGTATATATATTCAATGCATTGATTTTTATAATTAGTTAGTTTCGATAATTACAAAACTAAATTAAAAATAAAATAAAAACGAATTATGTAAAATAGTTGTAGAAACAAAATTAATAACACGTGATTTTTAATTTATTTTTATGTGTTATTAAAAGAATTTTTTGTAATAATTTCAGATACAAAAATTAACAACATATTATACAAAAACCTTTAGACTAGAGAGTATGGAAAATTTTCTATTTACAATTATTTTATCTAATTGGTTTTTATTTTATTTTTAGTTTAGTTTTGAAATTATCGAAACTAACTAATTATAAAAATTAATGCATTGAATATATATACAAAATATTTTTATATTAAATATTGTATATATTTTTTAATTATACAATATTATAAATGATTCAATAACATAATTTTCTAAATATTAAAAACCTAAAAAAAAAATATTTTTTTGATAATATGTTGGTCAACGCCGGTAAATGCTGGTCAAACTGGTCAACGCCGGATTCCAGCGAAAGGTGTACCGGAAAAAAATGTTCGTGATGTTGGCGACATGACTAGATATAGTTCGTATATATGGGCATGCGATGCATATAGTTTGTGTAGTTAAGGATACATTTTTAAAGTTCGGATGTGTGGTCATGTATTATATCATACTTCGTGTAGCTAGGTATCTTTTTCCCATAAAAATACTACTCCATGAATCATGATGTAACAGTCACTGTGCGGTGTGCACCAAAAAGACTGGTCATGATTACTGTCATAGTATTTGAGAACGATGGAAAGTTCAGGTTTTTGAACTTTACATTTTAGATCGAAGACCAGAATTTATTTTTATTCATAGTGGCACCATTAAAAACAGACACAAGAAGAAGAAAAAAACTGAGCCAAATATTTTGTGATCCAAACAAAAATTTCTTTAGCCGAACGATAACATTGTTTTCATACCGAATAAGTCGAATAATATGATTTATACTGAATAAACGGAATCGAAACTGAATTTTGTATAACAGGTCCAAAAATCGAATAAATAAAAATTTATTGAAATTTGCATATATGACGTTAATTATTAACTCATCTAACAAAACTCCTAACATACTATTTGTGAGTGTCTTTATTCACAAGATTAATTATTATATCATTTTACTTTGCATAATTACCTCAACTTTATGATAATCACATGTTTGGACCCTCCACCCACTAGATGATAGGAGAAAGCCATGTATTACTTATTCATTTCATATATCCGACTTTAGACTATATTGGTGACATGTATCATTGTTTCTACCGTCATGAGTATTTTTCTTTTGTTTCCTTCTTTTTGTTGCCACTACGCATGAGTTCGTTGTAGGATTGTACATTTATCTGCTTTGTTTGGTTTATTTGGTAATTTTTTTGTTCTTAAAAAAATACCTAATCCGATTGAAATACTAATAAGTAAAAAGCATATCTGGCTAATTACATATGCATAATTACAGTGTTTTTGCGATGAATACAACTCGATATATAATTTTTTAACCAAGCTAGCTAGTGTGTGATTGAAGTGGAATATCAATTATCTTTTGTTGGCATGAGACTAAAGACTAATTTTCATTAAATGTATTTCGATCACTAATTAGTGTTTTTTTTAAAAGTCAAAATTCAATTTCACCAGATCTTTCAAAGTAAAAAAAAAAAGAACACAAAACAAAAAGAGTTTTAGTCACAATCAAAAAGAGATTTTAGTCGGATATATATCCAACGTACGACCAGCCAATACATCCGAATTATCCTTAGAAAGGCTAGCTATATAGTAGTCTTTATCCAAAAATAAAAAGGCTATATATATAGTACTCCGTATGCCTTAGAGCAAAAGCAGTGGAGCATCTGTAATTGTGGGTGTAAGTAATTGTTTATTATTATAATTAAAAGAGAAAGAGAGAAAAGAGAGAGAGAGATAGAGAGAGATAGAGAGAATACATTTTTTTCTATTTTTATAATGCCTCACACTTGAGTGTAAGTCTACACCCGGTTTTTGTTGAAAAGGTAACTTTTGCAATATTTCTCAATTGTTTATAACTTACACCCATGTCTCAATTACGCCATTGCGTTTGCTCTTAGGCATGCATGAATAAATAAAACTTGAAAAGCAAGCGCAATCTATGCATGACAAAAGCTTTTGCCTTTTGGATATCTCTTTTGTCCTTGATTAATTTGTTAATACAATTATCTAAAGCAATTGATAAATCCTTTTAAGGATAAATCAATCTTCAACCAAAACACTAATTATACTTTGTCATTTCTATCGAAGCTCTATGACGCAACTCGTGACAGGACAACAAAAAAAAACGTCTAGGCATACTAGATTAAGTTATTGGTGGCTAGTTCTTATAATAATATATTAACGTTTATGAATGATTCTTCAGCAGTAGCTTGCATGCTTAAGCTTGAGGTTCGAAACAACTTGTTTGGACCCGCTAAAAATGATATCCTTATTTTCGGAATAGCATGCGTTCTCGACTTCTCGGTTCTCATATGTTTTAGATTATTTTTTTGTCTTAAAAATTAATATTTCTCTAGTTATATATAAGTTCTTTTTAATTCTTCATGTTTTAGATAGTTATATATATACTCAAAATACTAGAGCTCAAGATTTTTTTTGTGTGTGTGTGTAGATCTTTCTACTCAGGACTTACTTGAAGATTGGTACATCTAATATTATTTATTAAGCTAATAGGAAAAAAATGCAAGTGGAGATCGTTGTTGGTCCCCAATTTTTGTCTCTTTGTCTTTTTCTCATGTTATCGATACAAAATTTAATTTGAGAACTAGTGGCTCCATAAGTTGTAAGACTCGTAACCGACGACAAAAAATGGACTTATAACTAACCAACAAAAGTAAAGGAAAAAACAGCCAGCCAAAACTTAACCGGTTAATTAGTACAAGAATACAAATCCAATTCGACAACATATTCGTTGATTATGTTTGCTATATCCCAATGTATCAACGGTTTATATATATGGTCCGTAACATAGCTCAGTTTTTTTCCGGTCGGTGAATGTAGCTCAATAATATGTAAGTGACAAACTTTTTCAACAAATCTTTGATTTCTACTGAAGTAAAAATGGTTTTACCACGTACTTTAATAACTAAAATATTAACAATATTGTACAAAATTTAGCTTACAAGGAAAAAACGTAAAGAGATGGAAACAAAAAAAAACATGTGATAGACAAGAAAACTAGGTATTTATCAAATCTACCCTCAAATCTCATACAAAAAAAAAAAAAAATCATTAAAGCTTCCACAAACAAATCCAAGAAACCCAAAAGAATTACATATAACTGACGAACAATCAGACAAGAACAAATCGGAAAAAACAATTTGTTTTATGGGTGTTATTACCAAGATCTGATGGAGTTTATGACACTCAGAGAGTTTTGATTATATATGAGTGTTGTTGATGTTAGCTACATTGGTAGTCTCGTAGACTGGCAAGCCTCCACGAGACAACTCGTAGTTTTGCAACTCGAAGAGATCAGAACTTGAATCACTCTCCATTCCATCATCATCTCCATCTCGCTTTATTCTCCTATCATCATCGTCATCATCAGCCCAAATCCTCTGATTCTCCGAGAGGCTCTCCATCACCTTGAGTTTCTCGTCCAGCCATGAGAACTCTTTGTTGGTCTTCTTTTCCTCTTCTCCCACTTGTTTTGTGGCAGAAGTGTGGTTCAAGAACTGCTTGTAGTTCTTGGTGGGAGTGTTCAAATAAGGAGGAGGAGTTCTGAAACCCGAGCTTGAAGAAGACATCAGAGATTTTGATGATGATGATGCCGTGGTGGTGGTGGTGGTTGAATTAGATCTGCTTGAGCTCAAGAAATGGCTGATACTGCTTCTTCTCCTCCTCCTCATCCATCCTCCTCCAGGGATCTCCTCTTCCACTTCTGGATCCGTTGGCTTTGTCTTTGACTTTGACTTTGATTTGTTCTTCTTCGAACTTGCTTGATGGAACAAGGAGTTCAAGAAGCTGGCGATTTTCCCTCCTGGGGAACTCGGTTGCTTGTGTCTCACGTTACCAAGTCTCTCCTTGATTGTTGTAACTTCGTACTTCTCATGATGATCTTGTTGAAGATGGTGCACTTGTTCTGAGCATCTAATAGGCAAATCCAAGCTGATTCTTCTTCCTCCTCCTCCTAAGATTCCCCATCGCCTAGGATTCTCCTCTCTCGCTGCATTATAGCCATACTTTTGTGTATTTCTATGGTCACCGGAGGAAGCTTCATTGTAGCCGAAGTACACGGCAGCCTCAAACACGTCAAGCTCTTCGGAATTGCGCTTGTGGGTCAAAGATATTCTCCTCGAGAGCTTATCTGGCTCTGCTGATGAGATCCCTTTCATGGACATTATATTTTTAGGGTTTGAGAATCGGATACTTGGATGATCCAAGAGTCTCTTTCTATGCTTGATTTGCGGGGAATGAGGAACAAGTTGCTAAGGAATGATATAATGAATATAAGGTGTTTAGGTTTTATATAACAATTGATGTGATATGTAACTCCCTTCATCATTAAATAAGGTCGTAGTAGTATGTGAATATACGGGTCGTAAACGTATCATTCGATACTCATACGTTGATATTAGTGGATTACGATTGTTTTATATTTTTTGGATTAAATGTTTTGAATGCTGTGAATTTTAGAAAATTTGGAGGGACACAAGTCATAAGAGTTTGGGTGACCCACTAAATGCGTGGGTGAAGAACTTAATTGAAGGAGAAGGTGGGCTCATTTGATTTTATGAGCTTTCTGATAAGGTGTAGGAAATTTAATTGATTGTATTTATGATAATGTGGACCTATCGTCTCTTGTTGCCTTGGATTCCAACTTTGAGTGTTTTTTTTTGGGATTTAATATTGTCGTTCATTTTTGAAAATCTTTATGCTTATGTACATCAAAGTATCAAACCACACACAACCCATGACTCCATTAAATTTGCATAGATGAATATATATATACACGTATGTTTGTGTTTAAAGATATGTCAATTAGTTGAATCAGGCCCGGCCCAAGGTAAATTGCTGCCTAAAGCAAAAAAATTTTTTGGTCCATCCTTATACATAATTAAAACAAAATTTATATACATAAATATAAAAGGACTCGAACTCAGCACCTTTGATGAGAGAATGGAGGAATTAACCACAGTACCACAATAAATGTTTGTAAAATGATGCCCCTAAATTCTTTTATAGACATTTGATGCCTAAAGCCCATGCTTTACGAGCTTTAGCCTTGGGCCGGCCCTGAGTTGAATAGTGACTCGGAATCGACGTATGTTTGATTTTTCCATGAACGTTAGGTTAAGGCATTTTGCATTGCCATTGACACAATGTGCAAAACATGAAAAACTACCGTACGCAACACAACTTGTTCCGTGTGTTTATGTGTCCAATTTATATTATTAGCATTTCTTTGAAGAACAAATTTACTTTTTGAAAAGATAAACATTACATGAAAATATTCTTTATCAATTAAAAGAATTTCTTTGTTAAAGAACCTTTAGTCCCGTAGTTACGAGTTTAAAGTCTTTTATACCAGATCAGAAGGTCGATTCCCAGAAAACACAATTTTTTGCTAGATTATCAAAGCTTATCGGAAGTTACCGAACTCTGTAAGCAAAGCTGTTCGTTGTGGTTTCATGTATTGTGGAGAGAGCATGTCCATCGGATATTTGATATTTCGATGGTAATTTCAATTGTAAACTTGTAGTATAGTTTAGTGAGTTATGTGTTAGTGCCATTAATTATCTTTTGTTGAAGAGCTTCGAAGTCACTCCTCCATGACATTTAAATCATAATCATTAATTATGTAAGTCAAGCTAAATGATATTTTTTATAATCACTCTCATCAGCGTACATATTTACAACTCCAAATAGTCTTCTTCTAGATATAATTTTTATTTTAGCGATGCGTTGTGCATAAATAAATTACAGAAACAAACTGATACAGTTGTTTGTATATATATTGGTATAAATCACTTTACAAAAAAATGTTATGGTTTAAAATTTTGAGATATACTAATATGAACATATATAAACTTGATTTTAAATTTACTAGTATGAACATATACAAACTTGATTTTAAATTTACTAATATGAACATAAACCCAAAAAAAACAACTTGAATTTACTACTAGTTCATCAATTTCCAATTAAATTATTTACTAAATGGATTCTGCTACTTAAAGCTAGATGAGCAGGAGAAATTGAGACATGACTCTAAAGTCAGATAGTTGCGGAACAAGACATCAAAGTACAGTGGTGCAAACAATTCACTTGGTCAGTTAGCGAGTTTCTAATATCTTATCCGTATTGTTTTCTGAGAAAATCATTGTCAAAGAAATAGTTTTTATTGACGTAAAATTAATTGTTCGATATAATTTAGGAGTAAGAATATAAACCAAATAATACTAGTTTGACCCAGAGTTTGAAAGGGATTCAAACCCATTACCTTTCTACAAATATCTAGGGCTAATAAATTTTGGTCTAATCTAGAATCCACTTTAATTTGCCTGGATGTTATAAATCATGAAAGAAAACGAAACAAAAAATTTGGAAAACGAATCAAACGTTAGGTCATGAAACTTACGTTTGAGAAGATTACTACGTAAAATAAAATAAAAAGTAAATATAATTGGCTTTTATCTTTAAAATCTAGATACTTTCAAGTCAGAAAATTGTTGGTTCCCTCTTTATCCGATTCGAACATAATCAAACGTTAGATTTAACTTCATAAAATTTATAAAAGCCCGGATTTTATAAATGTTATATAAAGATTACGATGTCTTTCTTTAAACCTTTAGCAACTATATTTAATTAGTGTTAACAGAAACAAAATCAGAACTACCGAGAAATATAAAGAAAAGTAGGCAAGGTCACGTTGTATAGATTCCATATTAAATGGTTACAAAGGCAAAACATAGACATGACACGAATATTAAGTAGTGGTTAACATGAGACTCGAGCCCACTCGTGCGGTGACAATCCAAGGGAGATGACACGTGATATGGTTTTGGTGTACCGTTGTACAACTACAAAGACATAACTAGAAAAGGGTTTTTGTCTTGGGGCGTAGAAGTTGAAAATGATACGTTAAGAACACTTGAGCCCTCGGTATTGAAAATTGACAGTTCCATCTACATCTCAATCATACCTAACCAATCCCTAATATGCAATCAAATTCTCAAATATTTAAACAAAATTTCGGATTTCATTAAAGCAGCCAAGTATGTCGTTTATATTCCAAAGTTGTTAAGTAGCCTAATATTGGTCAAAGTTAATATGAAAGATTGTCTACTATCTTTGACAAATTAAGATTTAAACCCCAAAATCGACCGGCTGAGCTACTGACACTTCAATACCTGGTCATTGTATAATCTTCATTTCATATTTACTTGCCACCTTTAGATTAAGATTACTAAACATTTTGTTGTCAAATTAGTTATACTTATACAATGTACATCAAATTATTGGATATTTGAGATGACATTTGTAATATTCAATATTTTGTTGAAAATGAAATGTGTGAATACAATTTAAATAATTCAAAACTCTATAATGACTTCTCTGGACTATACATACCTATTATAATCGTATACATATGTTATATAAACGATTAACTTTATCCAAATAAATTATCGCCCCATGCTATGATTGTCAAGTCAAAATCTAAAATTTGGAGGAACTGGTGAAGGAGACAAAAGAGGGAAATGAGTGTGTAAGATAGCTTTCTTTTGTTTTGAACCTCACCATTCTTAAAGTTGCTTCTTATGGCTATACTTCTCTCACCAGTCCCATCTCTTTCTATCAAACACTTCCCATGTGTGATCTCATCTTCCTCCTTTGGATATTATCCTCTCCAATTGCAAAACAATTAAGTAAATAAGGAACAGTCATTTGTCGATGCACCCCAAAACGAAAAAAAAATTTATGGAGAACAAGATAAGTTATAATTGGGCCCATTTAGCCCAATAAGTTTATCGTATTTGGTCACAATGGGCTCATATGTTTGGCCCCACAGATGACAACTCTAAGAACTCAACAATGCCCTACTTTTTTGAGACAACACAGTGTGGTAGGCCTTGAAAGATATGACAACTTTCATACATCACAATTCACAATTCACACATATACTCTATATTAATTTAATATATCTCGTATGTAAAATCAGACAACATGAATACCATGGATCCACTATAAGTATATTCTTGAAGGGTTATGAAAATATTTTAAGCTTGTTGACACATTGTAAATTTTGGTCACTCTGGCGTTTGGAGAAAAAAAAAATACTCAAATAACTTGCTTAAAATGACATAATTTTGGCAATATTTGCAGAAAAAAACAGGTGACAAGACCATAAGTCAAGAAAATATTTTTTCGTCGATGATTTTTAACAAACAGAGTGGATCTTGTATAAATTACGTATTATGTTAAAAAAAAAAAACAGCATGTCATATTTTAATATAATGTGTGACCAAAAAAATTAAGCGTGTTCTCCAAAATATTAATATGAAATTTGGAAATTTCTATCACACTAATAAATATTTTTCAAATAAAATCAAAATGAAAGTCATTTTGGAATTTGTTTTGTATGTAATCAGGTCAGGTAGTGTATATTCCCTATAAAATTAAACTAATAAGATTCCTACAATATTTGTATTACTATGGAATTTCACTAAATAATTATAAATCTTTCAAATCTAGAAGAGTTTGTCTCATGCTATTAAGTATTAATAAAAAATATCAAAATATAGAAATTTTAAAACTAGAAGCACAAGTAAAAAAAAATATAATCTCCAAATCTAAAGTGAAATCAAAAGACAAAAAAATGAGTACGCTAAAAATGAGTATGCTTTCGACCAAAAAAAAATGAGTATGTAAGTTTACTTGGTGATGAGGACTTCGAATCCATGCCCATCCGAGAGGAGGGTGAGAAAATGATCCAAGCAACAAACATACCAAGACATGTTCCAATGAACTAATTTCCCGAGACAGTTTGGACAATAAAGCCGTAATAGCGATCAAAGGAGGATTTCAGCCCATTTAAGCCCAAGACCCATAAGCTTTGATCGATCCTGATTTTTCAAAACACAAGGGAGTCATGAAGAACCACGAGCCTAGGAAGACCAACATATATCAGCCCAGAATCGAAGACACAAGTGCATGGTAAAAATCCTTACTCGATAGCACGTGCCGGGCCCGAGCCACCTTGGCATGTATTTTTGGGCATCTTAAGAGTAGAGATCCTACCCAGACCCAACAGGATCCACCCTCGAGGGGTCCTCTCTTCTCCATTTAAGGAAACTCGTCAAACCCGTTAATCCAACGCTCGTTTTTCATGGTTTGTAGACACTCTAGATCTATCTGAGGGTTATAAAAGGAAAAATACAAGAAATCACTTGTTCCATATACAAAGGAGATCATACTTAAAAAAAAAAAAAAAAAAAAAGGA